AAGATACAACGTAAATAATTGCAAAATACTGTTTTAAATAAACTTAAGAATTAAAATATTCTAATCAATTTTAGTAATGCATTACATTATAGACATTAATTTTATTGTGATCAAATAATTTCAAGCTTTCAAAAATCTAATTTTCCACTTCAAATATGTTTGTAAAAAAAAAAATAGAAAATCAAAATCATATTTAATGAACATAAGTAGTTGAATATTAATTATAATTTTGATGTCAAGTTTGCTTTAAAAATAATAAACAAATTGTAAGTAAATACGTAAGTACCTATCTATTATATTGTGTATTGCATTTGATTTAGGATTCCTAAACACATTTACTATAACCTTGAATAACATAGGTATTTGGAGTGGTCCTAAATGGTTTTGGATGTGTATACGCCCTATAAAACCACAATACCATAAGCAATTAACAGTTTAGTACATAATACACTAATATGCCATCTTTAGTGCATGCAACTTTGAAATACTCTTTATGTATTCAAGTTTCTAAGTATTCCAAACAATACACTTATTTCTCTTGAGGCAGCATAATGCAGCTTTTAGGTGTGTTATTAATATTGACAAAATTACGACCGACGCAGCGTCTAATGTAGGTATAACACAGGCGTATCTAATAAATGAATAAAATATTATATAGAATGTAAGTTAAAAACAAGTGATGTTAAATAGTTCCTATGTGTTTATATTAAATAAATTGTATGTGCATTAACTTTAAAAATATGAAAATCGTACATCTTGAATTTCGTGAGATTGCAAAAAGACATTTCGTTGATAAAATTGGATTTTAGATTTGCTTTAAATATTCATCATTGACGGTCTCTTGAGGGAAAGGAGGTTTGTAGTCATAGAAATGGAACTGAAAAAAAAAAGATTTTCTTTTTTAATTCGTTGATATCACTTTCTACATTATGTTTGGGTCACATTGTAAAATTGATAGATGTCGGAATATTAAATAAATATTATTGAAAATAAAAACCGTGACAGATGGTAATCAGGCGGATTTTTTTTACCCCCCCCCCCCCCTTCCACACATATATAATAGATTAGTAAATCGATTAACGATTAGCTCGGTCAATTATTAAGTACTTAAATTTATTTATTTTCAAATCAAAAATACTGATTAAAATTAAAAATCCTACCGACTTTGCAAGTTTTACCAAAGTGTTGAAACAAATGTGTGTAGTGTTCTAGTGACTAGTATGTTTGTGGTTTTTACCACAACATATTTTTTTAAAAGTAATTACATTACAACTATAAGACTCTACATGAACGATCATCATAGATACGAGTGCAGATTTTAAATCGGCATAACAGAGGCGATCCTTGTTTATTTTTCTCGCACCACGTAATGGTCATTCGTCAAATTGTATTATTTTACCAATTCCTCTTGCATGTAGTGTTCTTTTCAAAATTACTTTGCGTCTAGTGGTAATCTCTACAACGGTTTATCTAGTCACAGAGTATATTATAGTACCTACAGTGATCTCTTGTCTCCCTATAAACTTCATTATTCGAAAAAGTAACTGAAAACTAGCAGTGAACACACACAGAATTTTTGTAATTTCACTCAAACTAATTCTACTTGAATAATCGTATATAGTTTTCGTATTAAATTTTGTACATTTTAGGACAGGGTTTTTTATTTCTGTTACGCATCTGCATATAAATGTTTATTGCATTTGTAGAATGTTTCTACAATAAGCATTAGGTACATGAGCAAAAATTAAAATTTGTTTAACACATGATGTTAATGAAAATATAATTTACCAGGAGTTACATAATTTTATACATTTGATTATCTTATAATTAAATAAATCAAGTTTGAGTATTGTAACAATTTACAATTAATAGTATGTACACAAATTAAATAAGTTATTTATAAATAAAGTTATAACAATCCACTTATTTCACATTAAATTTCCATACAAATAGACATTTCTGGTAGGTTATTTACCACTTGGTATTTTTAAATATGGTTTCAACTTTCAGCTCATGTCACTATTTTGGAAAACTGTGATGTTAAGAAACCTAACATTGTCTTTTAAAATTTAACTATTGATTTTACATGGTGCGAAATATGGATTAATTATATTGTATTACTGATATAGTGATGCCTATAATACAAAATATGTACGCATAACTAACATACGGTATGCAAAACTACTTATACTCTAGGTATATAATATATATTATATTAAACTGTAGTCACTAACAGTAATGTTACAGCGGAGTGCATATGTAATGAAGGTGGCAAGCTATTGCAAATATTTTTAATTTTTGGCAGTACCTATATGGCGTGAATATATACAGTATTTGTTATTACATGAAAAGTATATAGTAATTATAAAAGTCATGACTCTGAACTTACTGTAGACTACAGGATATAGAATATAGATATTCATATAATAATATATACCTATTCAATTAATATGTTGATAGTTTATAAAACTATATATGTTGACGTTAATTGTTGGGTATTATTACTTTTGAGTTATGGTTGCACAGATTTCGGTTCGTGTATGAACTTTGCTAAAAACCCATTCAATATTTACCAAACATAATATATTTTTTTTCACGATCTTCTTCAAACTTATTTATTTTTTGCATTTAACAAAGTGTACTTACCTATACAGTAAAATAAAGTAGGTAGCAGATATATTACAGGCTTTTCTAATTCTACTCTGTTACAGGAAAATATAATACCTTTATAGAAAATATTCATTTTTCGAAGCTCTACGATGTTAGTTCATACTTGGTTTATTCTTTGTAGAAATTAAGAAAACAGAAAACTTTGACCACTCAAAAACAATAGTGCAATCAGATCTCATACCTGTTTTTAAATGCATCGTGTTTCGCTTTGTTAATGTTTGGTTTCCTGATACACTGACGAATATAATATCATAACGAAATCACGAATCTTGGAAGCCTGTAGGGAAATCTGAATTCCTTTTATTCAGTTGGCCTTTCAACAACTAAAACGAATGGTTTTTACTGTTACAGACGTAGTTTTCAGAATTTCTTAAGACACATTACTCTATTATTTATATTATTTCATACATGTTGTATGACAATACATTTAAACATAAATGTGTTTAATAATTTATATTATTATGTTTAATTTGTTTAATGTATAATTTTTAAAAATTAACTAAAAATTTAATTTATACAGTAGAGTAACATCATGATAAATTCAAAAATTAGGTACCTATATATTATTTGATAAATCATATAGATTCCTTATGTATGAATTAACAATATACATTTAAATTATTAAATAATAATAATGTGTTCAGTTTAGATATAAGCAAGAATACAGTGTCTGATAACCACTTTAATAGATTTCCGTTTAAATTGAATGACTCCAATGAGGACAAGTGCAAGAAAGCATCTCTAAGTATACGTTTAATTTTACGAATAAATTTGACAAATAATTTAAGAATTAAAACTCAGTTATTATAATTACAATTAACAATATAAATATATAATATATAACAAAATAGATAGGGAATAACGAATAATTATAGTTAAAAAATTAAATTTTACACCTTTTATTTGAACTTCATTATTTACAACTACATTTAAATCTAATCTACAATATTATTAAATTAAAAATCTTCTGAGATGTAATAGTATGCTACATATTTTATTAAACACACAATCGTATGATATAATATTATGGAAATATCTAAATTAAACCTGCTAGACAGTGCTAGTTAAATTTATTAAAAAAATATATTATTTAAATATTATAATGATCTCTTTTGAATAATATAGAATTATATTATTCAATAACATAATAATATAATGAAAGACAATGTATTATTTTATGTTAAATATTAAGTGAAGTCCTTTGTTGTATATATTTTTTTCAGATGAAAGAAATAAATAATTCTATAAACGTGAACAAGTTAATACAATTAAATTATTGTAGAAAAATTTTATTTTGAAAACTAAGGATAATCAAAATATAAATTTATAATTTTTACAGTCTTCTATAAAAGTTTGTTTAATATAATTTTGTCATTAAAGGATAAAAGTGTACTATATGTGATATAATAATTCCAATGTTATATTATTTTGTGTGAAAATAAAGTACATTGGTTTGCTACTCGTTTTTCTGATAATTTTCATTCCATGTACATTTCTAACAGACCATGATCGAAATAAGGCCAATCGGTACGACAGCTGATTTCAATCGTTGTACTTTTTTGGGTGCGTGCTAGAGTCTATTGCCAAAACGATATACCAATTTATTCTTACCAAAACTATAATATTAAATATTTTCAACTTATTTCAAGATATTATAGATTACAAAAAATTAATTTTGAGAATATCACTAGGTAATATAAGAATATAATTTTAGTAACTTAACAAAGATGAGTGAAACTATTACGATTACGTTTCCACATAATTTAAACGAATATGAAAATTTGATTCCATAATTTGGATGCACAATAAAAATGGTTACTCATATTTAATTAATTATTATTTATTTATTTTATTAATTAACGCCAGACCGGCAATAACAAAGTTTGGTAAAATTTACAAGTTACATAATATTGTTAAATGGAATTATAATGGGGGTGTACAGCGTGTATGAATAACAGTATAATAAGAATATATATTTAATACAATATGTTCTATAATAAAAACGAATTTAATAAAATAAAAAAACAAAAAACAAAAAAATTTAATAGATTGTTTTGTTCGTGTTATATGAAAGAAAATTAATTTATAATAATATTTAAAATTAATTTCAATAAATATCATGCCAATACAATAACATTGACTAAGAGTGGTGTGGATTTGAGCACATTTTCAGTTTGTTATCATTATTTGAACACCGATATTTATGAAAATATATCAATATTTGATACATTTCCAATACGGTTTCATTTTACTAATATGAATTGTTATTGTTGTAGGAGGACTCTATGTGGCAACACGTACTCAACATAAGATGACCAAATGCGTGGACCATGCCCGGTGGCCAGCCAGTGCAGCTGATCGTCATGGTGTTGGTGTATTGTGGAACAACATATGGAGATTGGGCCGATTGTCCAACCCCTTGTCAATGCAAGTGGAGTTCGGGGAAGAAGACAGCATTGTGCAAAGATGCCGATTTTACAGATATACCTTTATCGCTAGATGCAGACATGCAGGTACTTGATCTGAGCTCCAATAATTTACGCCACTTACCGGAGGATGCGTTTAAAAAAGTAGGATTACTTAATCTGCAGCGAGTATTCCTACGCGGTTGTGGAATACACAATGTTCATAAAGATGCTTTCAGAGAATTGAAAATACTCGTAGAACTAGATCTCAGTGATAACTTGATTGGTTCATTGCACCAGGAGACATTTCAGGGAAATGAACGACTCCGCGTGCTATATTTGAATGGAAATCCATTAACTGAAATTAAAGAAGTTCAATTTCCCGTCTTACAGCATCTTCGAACCCTAGAATTGCAACACTGTCAAATTAAACGAATACATAGAGATGCTTTCTTGCACTTGTCCTCGTTGGAGTCATTAAATTTAAACGGGAATCTATTAAAGTGGTTATCAGAAACTGTCTTCTTGCCTATATCTAAACTGAAAACATTATCTTTGGATGGAAACCCGTGGGTGTGCGATTGCCATTTAAGGAGTTTTCGAAACTGGTTTGTTTCGTCCAATTTATATTCACATCCGTTGTCGTGTATTGAACCGAATGTATTGTCGGGTAGTCGGTGGGAGAACATAAAACCACCAGAGTTTGCATGTCCTCCAGTAGTCAAGATTGACAGGAACAGTGTGTTAGAAGATGCCGGTAATATTACTTTTACTTGTAAAGTGACTGGAGACCCTGAGCCAGAAGTGAGCTGGTATTTCAATGGACATAATATAGATAACTATACCGATCGAATGGACGAAAATCGTACGTGGCTAGATAACAATCGGATGTGGAGTGCTCTACACATATTCAATGTGTCAGATGTAGTGGCTGGCGAATTTACATGTGAAGCTCGGAATTCACGTGGACAAATGTCAGCCAATGTATCCTTAGCTTTACCAGAAGTAGCAGTAGCTACGACATTAAGCAAATCTAAATCTATGTACTTGGTCATAATTTGTGTAGCCGCTAGCGCAACGGTCCTATTGTTCGTGATAGGCTTAACATGTTGCGTATGTCAAATGAAGAAATCAGGGGGCCGACGTGATAGTAAGACTAATTTTAAAGGAAGTACTAGTTTCAGCGATGCGGACAAACGACTACTCGACGCAAGCATATCGACTACACAAGCTGGAAGCTGTGAAATGCTTGGCGGCTCTTCTTGCCAGGACTTGGAGCTCATTGAACAGTCATTACAAAACATCCCATTGGCCTCCGTCTGCGACCAACAACCGGTTCACATAACTATTGAGAGTCATGACCCTAACTCTAGCTTGTCACTGTACCCACCACCACCAGAATTTTCCACTAGTATTCTGCCATCAGTCAGCGGTTTTGGAAATATATTTATTTCAGTATCGGTGAGCCAAGAACCACCTGACCCTGAATCTAGGTATCCAGACTTACTTGACATGAAGCACAGACAAAAACAAAGCGTCAGTGTTGGTACCAGCTCAACCCATCATATTCCACCAGCTTCGTCATACTACGCCACTATGCCGAGGAAAAAGCGAATAATAGACCATCAATCCATCAAATCGGTTATGCCACATTATGATAACATGGGTCCAAGAATAACAGCAACGGGAAGTTGTACGAACTTGTCATCTCTTTCCAATAGTGGTGAATCTTCTGATGATATACCACCACCACCGCCACCCCCTTTATGTACAGGACACACTGACTACGTGGCTCTATAAGTAAATAATGTATGTACTCTTAAAAAAATAATTTTAAAATCTTTTTTTGAAGTGTTAAGCTAGATAAATATTATAAATAATACAGAATTAATATAGAAATTCTGTGTTGTTTATGATATATTATATTATATTCACTAAAAAAAATAAAACATAATTTATGTAAAATGTTTGAAACCAAAAAACATTTGAAAGAAATCTGCACAGAAAAAGTTAAATACAATTTAAGAGAAGGTATTGTTACTATTGACGTTTACACAGAACATTGAAAGCTTAAGTCGTATTATCCGTCATCAATCACATGGCATTTATTATAGGGGCAGCATTATTAATAAAATAGTATTAAAGGGGAAACCCTGAATACAATAAATAATAATGAGAAAATAGAAAGAAAAAAAGTAATCATTGTATAAATGAAAGTTCGGTTCTGATACTATTTGTTTGGTTGTTTATATGTATTTTTTTTTTTACGAAGTCAGTAGGTTAAACTTGACAATCTATAGTTTTAATACTTAAATGATAAGTATTTTATGTTTAAATGTGAGTCAAAAATCTTATTTTCTAATTAATCATGGTTTTATTATCGCTTTCTATAAAAAAAATACAAGTTTTTCATAAAAATATATCGTATTCCTGTTAAATTGTAGTATTAGATGGTAATTTGATTAATTGTTGAGTTTAAAATTATTGGTAAACATAAATTCCTACAATCTCATTAAGCTATCAACTTAATTAATAACTTTTGTGTGATGAATACTGGGTGTCAATAACTAATATTCATTATTAAAATTTAAAATTATTATTTTATAACTTTTACTAAATAAATCTAATTTTATAATCCATGAATCTTTTTTTTACAACACTTCATAGTAATATGATATTAAAACAACACATTATAAAACATAAAATATATAAGTAAGGCACAGTTTGTTTTTTTCTCTAATGACAAATATTCCGATAAAATGATATACAAATTATAACAGATAAAGTTATAAATGTAACATAAAAGCAAAATAAATAAAAATCAATTAAAAAAAATGTACCTTATGTATAAATAATATTTTTAAAAGGTCATTGTCCTCAATTTAATTTTAAAATTGAAATGCATCTTTAACTTTCAGCTGGAGACTAGGGATAAGTAACAGAAATTTAGTTGATAGTGTTATAGTATATTAAATTTTAGTATTTCTTGTTACGCGTCTATTAAATTATAAATGTTATATTAAAGTTATATTAGTGCCGATGTTTTAAAAAGAAATTTGTTTTTGTTTAATGAGAACATTTATATTTATTTTTAAAAGAAGACGATTAGACAATAAATATTAAAATTATATGCATCTATCTATCTTTGTACTATTTTTAAATAAAAATTAAAAGTAATAAAAGTGATGAGAAAAAAAGTCATCACACCATATCGATCAGTTTCCATCTATTTACCCAATTAACTTAAAAAATAACTCAGGGTTAGCGAAACCCCTTCGTATTATTTAATTTATACTATATTTTTTACACATATCATTTTAATTAATTATGTTTTATGTTTTCCTTTTAAAATTTAAATATTTAGTTATTGATTTTTTTAAGAGATGTAATTAAAACTTAAAAAAAATTTTAAATGTAGGTTTGGCATATCATGTTATTACAGTAGGTATTTTACATTTAGTATGCATAAAATATTCTAAGTTTTATAAAAAATCGAATGTTACTAAATAACGAAAAAAAATACCTTCAATAACTTAAAAAAAATATATTATTCTTTGATTAATAATGATTATCTATAATAAATCCCCACAAAATGTCCATTAAATTTAAATGTAAAAAATTACAAGTGTTTCATATATTATCTAATGAGGTAGGTCTTGTTAAGTTACAACAGTAATTATATAATTGCCAAAGTGTTGTTATGAACAATGTTATACAATTAATAAGACAATGAATCATGTAGAAATATAATATTATTTGATCATCCACTCGAAAGAAAATTAAAACGTTGAAATACCAAAATAAATCTTTGGATTGTAAATTTTAAAATATAGTTTTTTTATGATTATTGCATTTGCATTTATTTAGGTATTTCAATAATATTCTTCAAATAGAAAATATCGAAAGTTTTTTTTTTTAAACTATGCCTTTCCTAGCTTGCGACAAGTAGATAAATAATATTGAAATCCTGTGTTGTAAACGTTACAATGTAGCTTATGTATGCATATAGACGGACCTACAGGATATAAAACTGTCTTTATTATTAAAAAAATAATAACTATTGTAAAAATTAAATGTAATAATTTTTAAGGTATTTTATTTATAATGTTTATATTAAGTTTTGTTTGCTTTCGACACTACAAAATATTCCTTTTCTCCTTTGTGAACGTGTCACAAAAAAAAAAATGTTTTATTCTATAGGGGTGAATAAATATGGAATTTTTTGTCTGCTTTGAAATAATTATAAATATTTATACGTATACAATATACATATACATATATATATATATATATGTACGTATGTACTATGTAGGCATGTTTGTATGTATATAAATATAATACATTTATGTTCCTTGTTGGTGTTAATAAATTATATTGTACAGTAAATATGTATGTCAATAATTAAGTAAAATCTAATTCAAATTTTCTTTTTTGTTGTAGTTTATATTTCATTACGTATTTATTAAACATGATTTGTAGTTTATTGTAATCGGTATGTGAAATAAAATGAAAAATACATTTAAAAAATACAAATCTCGTTATTTTTGTCATCCCAATTTTTAATCCACTCAAGTTCATATTTTCTCTGCCTAATTAAAAAAAAAACAAACTTCATTTGATATTAAATAATGGTTTGTATAGGTACAAGTATACTTGAATGTTTTTTTCACAAGTATAAAGTAAATTGTTTTTTAATAAAATAACCGTTTCTGCTGTAGAATAGGTAGAAGATTTTATATATTTTTGAAATATATCAATGTTATATTATTTTCAGACTATGTTAACAACTTGGAAAAAATTATAACAGAAACTAGCACGTTACGTTTGTAATACGAAGGCCCAAATATTGTTGTACTGCACTGACAGTGACTAAGAGACACATATATGTATTACTGGTTCAATATATTTTTAATTTAAGAATGTTGTAGCTTTAATTTATTTAATTCTAACTGCTAGTCATGTCACTTATTTTTTAAGTTTTACCCTTGAGGTGTTTTTTTACATTATAACTATGGTTTTTTATATCAGTAATATGTTTGTTCATGGATTCATTGTATAATTTTAATATCTTAAAACATACACTAAAAACCAAACAGTGTAGGTTAACCTAACCTAATAATAAAAGTATTTTAAACTGTGTATTTATTACATAAAAATGTTTACATTGCATACCTACTTATAATCATCTCAGAAAAAGTATATTTATCTAAAAAGTAAACCATATTTACAAATGTACAACAAAATTGAAATTCCTATGAACACAAATAGGTATAAGCAACATTTCTTGGATAATTTTAGTTACATACAAATAATTATCCTATATTGTATAATCATAATATTGTTTTTATTAGGTAAATATGTTATGTACTCAATGAATTCCAGATAATGAAATCCAAGCTAAATCTGGACATAAATTACCGATTTCATTATTAATTGATATGTTTGGGTAATTGTGTAAACAAGATTCTGCACTTAAAAAGTGTCATATAACTGACAAAACAAGTATGATATCAAAAGTAAAAAAAATATACAAGTGATTCACATAAACAATCTAAGTTAAGTTTGATGTCTTGAAAGTTTCTAAAAAAAAAAAAAACAGAAACAGAAACTTTTCGAGTATAATTTATTATAATATTAGTGGACTTTACAAAAACTCAAAAACACAAATCAGAAAAAATGTATTTGTTACATAGTAGTGTACAGTGTTCCACATACTAACTAAAACGTAAAAATAATAACTTAAAACTAGTATATCAATAAGTGACAATACAATGTTTATTTATAGTTAATAACCAGTGCATAATATACATAATTGTTGGTTTTTTTTTTAGTATATTATACAATATATTTAGATATTAGCCCTTCTCAATATTTTTTTTGTATTATAATTTTTCATTGTAGTCGCAGTTTGGTTTTTATTGACATAATATAAAGAAAATAACCAATCCCACAGAAATCCAATAATTGCCACATTAATAATACGATAAAGCTGAAACTTTATTAATTCATGTTAATGAATAGAGTATATTGATTACTTAAATTAATTTTTGAACTGTACCTATCTTATTTCTTGGATTCATTGGCTGCTTAAGATAATATCGATGGCGTAGCGCACAAGTGTGATAAGTGACATTTTCGTAATTGTTCAGGAGAACGATTTTTAAGTTTGAGATGTTATAAGAAATTCAAAAATGTAACGAACTGTACGACATCTATCGGAGTAAATAATGAACTTTTCACTTACAACGTTTGGGCATAATGTGCAGAATTGTATGATTAAATTGATTATGCACTTAACTCATTTTTCAAAAAATGTCACTTATCACACTTGTGCGCTACGCCATCGATATATTTCAAAATAAAAACTATGCACGCTTTTTGCTTTTACTCTAGATGTTGGACTACTCCACAGAAAATTGTTCGTATACAAAATTATCAGTGAGTTTAATCATATTAGGTACAATTTCTACTCATTTGTACAGAGTTAAATGAACAAGGAATTCAATACATTATATAAATCTAATTAAACACACTTCTAAAAAAATATAAAAATGATGTAATTTTAATTATATTTTTTCATAAATACCTAATCATAATATTATTACTTTGAACGATTTATATTTATTATTTAAAGTTTATAAACTGATTCTAATATGCATATCAAATACAGGTTTAAATTAATTAAAACTTTAATTTATTATGTTATACATATATTGCAGTTACATTAATAATTCCGCAATGAAATATATTAGTTCTATTTTATTTAATTGCTTTGAATAATGCTATTAGAACAATAATTA